TAAATGACTAGTTCCGACAAATTAGCAACGACAACCAACAATGCAACCAACATTCAAAAGCAAGAAAATGCGCGCAAAGTACGGCTGCATTTGTGAAGTATATACCTCCAGCGTGAACAAATGGCTAACTGAACGAGAAAACATGTTCTCATTTATATACATTTATTTCTTATTTATTTTGAATTCAACAAAAAAAAAATGTAATCCGACAGGTAGATAAAAGTATGGGCTATCCTATATCCAAATTTGTAAATATTCTGACACCCTTTTCATTGTAAAAAGATGGATAAAAGTGCACTTATTTTTGGGCCTCCAATGCTGATTTCCTCGGATCAGCGCACAGTCCATATATAGAGAAGTCTGTGCACACCCACACTATTTGCACCTAGCTAATTTTTCGACATTCGCCATCATTGTTTGCATTTCCATCATGAGGCTGTTGCAGACCTCGGTGCGTGTTTTGACTTTTGATGGTATGTTTTGCGGCGCTGTTTTGGCCGTGTCTGCCACTGCTGTCTCCTGTAAACAGCGGGTGTCAGCACTAGCAGTCGGCACCCCAGCACTCGGCGGGGCGCCGGTCGGCCGGCCTGCCACGCAGCTTAGACACGCACTTCTTACCGCCCTATGAGCAAACGGCGGCGGTGTTGGGACGCGTCAGCCGGCTGTCATAGGCCCAACAGCCGGCACAGAACTAATGTCTGCCGCTGCCGCGCCCGGCCCCGGCCCTGATAAATGACCGACACAGGATTGCGAATTCGTTTCTTTGAAGAGGCTGACGTGCTGAGAAGAACTGCACGTGGTCGGGCCGAGTTTAAAGGTCCCCGTTGAGTTAACATTCCCACGTTAATGATTTATCACCGGACGGCTAGTTAAGCGAGTGCCGTTTCTGTTGGCGATTCCTCCACTGCCGGAGACAGAAGCCATCAGGTGCCGACGAGACGCGGCTGGCACCGTCCGTTTTTCTCCGGTCAAACGCCCGCTAACGAGTTTTTTCTTTTGAGCTGCGCCTCATTTAACATCGTGGTCAGAATTATGTTTGTCTGTCGTCACTCAGCCGCTGGAATAATAGCGTTGCAGCATGAATCCGCTGCTGGCTGATGTCGGCAGCTCGCCCGGATACAAAGAGACCGACGCTGGGTCAACACTCTGTCGGCGGCGGCAGCCAACCGGAGCATGTCGGGGCCGCTGAGACGAGCCGGCTGACCGCCGACACGACAGGTAGTGACAGGCAGCAGGGCGGTTAGCGGGCCGGGCAGGGCGGTTAGCAGAGCGAGCCAGAACACCTCCGGTCCGCCGACGGCGGTCGAAATCTGGGGCAGGTCACGGAATTCATCGGGGCACTGCCCACGGGACAGGCGGATGGGTTACCACCAGCGACGCCCATTGCCCATTCCTCTCCGAGACTGGCCTGATGAGTCCTTGACACTTAGCGATGCAATTTATTGTTGACGTTACCAGTCCGTGTTAGGGCGATCGGGTGAATTGACAGCGAAGCGATTCAAGCGCAAGGCTAATGGCGTGTTCCTCGTTTTCGATATTCAGCCACTACATATGAAGCCAGTGTCATCATATCTACAAATAGTTTGCTATGGGAGCGACACGTACGGCTGCTTCCGTCTCCGTCTTCCCTTTCTTCGTCTTTTCGCTTCTTCGTCTTTCCGTTTCTCCATCCCTCGGCTCGAGTTGCTGCTGTAGGAAACATCCGTCGGCAGACGACACAAGGGCCGGTGCCGACGTATTCCGCACAGAGGCGCTGCGCTTGGGTCCCCTTGATTAACGACCTGGTCTGATTCAGGACCGGTCTGTCGACACCAAACAGCCGGCCCGCCCACCACAGCCCGCCGACGCCGCCTTTTATCTAGAAGAAATGGTGGCTGCCTGCCGCGCCACAGCTTTCTGGGAAGATGGAGGTCTCTTGAGGTAGTTAGTGCTGGACGACTGTGCTGCACTGGTAGCGAATCGGATCGAAAAGTTGAGAGAATCTCGCATATGACAACCTAAGCGGCTGTCCCAAAATGTGTTGATGTGGGTGGGAAACGACATCCAGATAAAAATCATTTTGCACTCTCATCCTGAATTTTCCCAGACCAATTTTCCACTCCCAATTTTACCGAGAAACAGCATTTGCTCTGATGAACGTTTTACAACCTGCATTTGACCACAATTTTACATAAATTAATGTTATTGATCCTTTTCCACTCTTTATAGGTCTAACCTGATTGGCAATTTTCCACTCCTATCCCCATTTTTGGAGAGGAATTTCCCCTCTGACACCCTGGCCAAATTATAATTTTGGGACACTGAAGCGGCCCGCACTCATTTTTCGCTGAGCCATGAAGGGTCTGGTTTAGGCGTTGAGATGGCAAGGGTTTCCGGTATTTTATGGTGGGACTAATCGGTGGAGATTTAATGAGGCTACATCCCGAATGTGTGAAAATAACGGGCTGTGGAGACAAATCATCAACTCCCCTTACAACAATCGGACCGACGTGAACACCGGGAGAGTGCTAATCCCTCGGGTACCGACCATTAGCGCCCATTTGCCGCCTGCCTGTTGACTGCACTAATGTCACACCTGCAGTGGTCCTCAGACCGGACCGGACCGGACCAGGGACCGGACCCCTCCCGGATGGCCGCCACTCCGCCTGACTCACCGGGGGTGTAATGTCGGTCCGGCCCCGGCAGCGGCCCCAGGTCCGGCGCCTCGTTAGATCTCCTTCCGGTGCCCCCGCCGCCGTCCCAGCTCCGGCGGCGGGGGAACAAAGACACCGAGGGCGGCCGGCGTCTGGAGGACACTGAACGCAGAGGTCTGGATTCGGGACCGACTCTGATGGTGCCGGCTGGGATCAGTGGGTCTCGACAGTGATTGATCGGGAAACGGGAACAGGCTATGATGCGTTGGCATTGCTGAATTAGAGAAGGTTTATGCCTTTTGTATTTAGACATTCAGCTTACAGTTTGCAGTAATGACTTCCGACGGGAAGGGTGCATGCGATTTGAGCTTATTTTGTGATTTAATTGAAAGGATGGCATCAGAGCTCGTCATCCCTACTATCTTGCTCCTGCGCAGCGGTACTGTCCTCCCGTATACCTACCGTTTACTGCCTCCATTCGTCCACCCCAGGCGGGTCGTCTTGGCTCGTGCCGTGCTGTGGGGGATGGGACTATACTGTTCATGGGACCCGGGGATTTTATGACACCCTCTGCGCTTCCTGTGTCCATGATCACCGTTACGGCCAGCCGCCGCTATAGAGGGAGAAGAGGACTGCCCGCGGCACCGCAGCTGTGGCTGTTCCATGGCACGTGCTGGCCACAATGACCCCTCAGTTACTGCTGAGAGATAGAGGTCGCAGAAGTTACAGAACGGGAAGCCGGCATTGGAGGTAACCCAGGTTACAGCTACCGTTCTTTTCGGGCGTCGTTTTGGTGGTAGACATTTGCTGCCCGTGGACGCTTTCTATTGCGCAGCACATTCATCAAAAACATTGAGTGAGGCTACCTCAAAAGGAGCCGGTATCTCGAATGGAATCCAAAATGGGGCAGAGTCGGCTAGAACTAAAGCGACCGCCTTTGCAAATCGATCCGTTCAAAACATATCGACTTCATGCATAAATCAAATATTTGTCTCATTCGGTTATCAGCACGCAGATTTGACTGATGATTGAGGTTTATGATTGAACTGGATGATATTTTCCTTTCATGATCGGCTTGTTTTAACTTATCTGCTTCCCCTTGCGTTGAAACTTGAACGAATGTCTGTTTTTAGTGTATCTATAAACCTGTTATTGTTTGTTACTTACTACCTACATTTTTATATAAATATTGAAACAAAACATATAAAATAATTTTTGAATATCATCTTGTATGCACATCCAAATCGCAGATTTTATTTCTACGGGCGTTTCATTAGCACCAGCCTTGCGTCTCGAACGCCCGTTCACCGCGCTATCAGCCGCGAAGTGTGAAAACATCAACCGGACATGGTGATTAGCCTCCACAGAGTGCATTAATTGAGTAGTCAGCTGTGTTAAATGGCCTTTCCGCTGGTCTGCGGCGCGGCCAGTGAGTCTGATCGAAGATGACTGCTATTCTGCCTACCGGGCACAGACAGCGCGCGACAAAAACCGCGCCGTCGTTTTTGTGGCTTCCCTGTTACCGCAGAGGAGACGGGGCTCCTGGTGGTCGCATGGGCGATCACAAAGGTCCCAGGAGGGTGGCCGACAAAGATCCTGCCCTGTCTTGTATTTATATGTCGTTTCTTGCTATGCAGTGGATGCCGAGAGGCTGTGTTGTCAATGTTCTTTTCGTTTTATCTGCCGCTCCATCAATTGTTTTTTTTTTATGTGGTGCTTGAAGTTATTCAATTTCTGTCTCAACAATGCATTTTCGCATGATTTGACATCAAGCTTAAATATAAGGCCAGTTAGCATTTATGACCACGGTTCAGGGCCGCCCAGCTCTAGTGGCTTTGACCATGTGCTTCGTTATTGCTTCTGAATGTTTTCTTTTGCCGTTTTTCTGTTAGCTTAGCCATAAATTCTAATCACTTTGTCATGGAATGACCGTTTCACTGGCTAGCGCCCATCTGTTTCGTACTAATCACGCTAACAAAAAAAAGTTAACTCGGCAGACCGTCCATCGCGAGCACATTTTGATCGCTCCTTGGGAACCTCCCCCGCCCCCGTGGCGTCGTTCTCGATGCCACGAGGGACGTGCGGGGAGAGAAAGGGTCGCCGGCTTCCCCTCCCGTGAATACGGAAAAATGTGCGCGGCAGTGGGGCCGCCAGGGCGCACTTGTTTGTATTCTTTCTCTCTCCCGGCTGCGGAGAGGGCCGCTGCACCCTTCCCTCCCGTCGCAGCCGTCGGCCCGTCGCCGCCGTTGCTGGCCGGCCCGTCGGACAACCTGTGCGGCACCCACTTGTTCCAGTGCGGCCCGTCGCCACCGGCGGCCGGCTGTCCCGCGGCCGCTGATTGGTGGCCGTCTGAGCGGCGGTCGGTCATTGGTCGGCGGGGCGCTGGCCGCCCCCCGTGCGCCCCGCGCCTTCCGAACGCCGCCCCGAGCACGAGCACGCCAGTCGTTCGGCCGAGCCCCGCGTGCGCCGCGAAAAACTCAGCCGCCCGGTAGCAGGGTCACCCGCGCTCGGCTGCGCGCGGCTCCGGTTTCCCGCAATTGTGGCTTCTTGAAACCGAATCTGCTGTTTAGGCATCGTTCTCATAGTGGTTGCACGCGCAAAAAGTGGTGGCCGCCGCCGGTTGCGGGGAGTGCGCCCGCTCGCGCCGGTGCCGCCCGCCGCAGTGGCTCGTCATGCTCGGTATCGGAGGTGGGTGACGCTCCGGGAGTTCAGAGTGAGGTGTGAGTTGAGTTTGACCTGCGGGCTGCGAGTGACCGTTTGGGACCGCATCCCGACTCGATCGAGACAGTGCTGTCGATTCGCGCCGTTCTGTGTGTGTCTGGGTGACTTCGGTGCTCCCCGGTGACCTGCTGTGACCTCGAGTCGAGTCTATCGGTGACCCGCGGTGACCTGACCGTGATGACGTCGATGGTTACCCACGCCATGACCCCGATGGCCCGGTTCGAGGAGCCGCCGCAGGATCCGGCCGCCATGGACCACCAGGTAACGCGGGGGTCGGGTGGACGGTCGTAACATGCGTATTTCCCGACAATACATAGGCGGCGAACAAGGGGGGCACCGGGGCACCGTGCCCCCTAAGATTTTTGCATTATATCATGGGCTGTGCATGGAAAGAATGGGACCAAAAGTCAGCAGCCCCCCCCCCTAATTAAAGGTGTTCCGCCGCCACTGCGACAATACACGGCACCAGCACTCGCTGTGCCATCGTTCGGCAATGATTACATCCGGCTTGCTGGGATGAGTTTTTGGTCCTTTGATTCCTTGATTCTCTGAGTCCAATCTTCCCTTCTCTCGAACTTGGTCTTTGCTTTCAATTTGATTTATTTTAGAAACGCCGCTTTTCGCTTATTCACTGCTCATATTACTCACGCGATGGAGCATCACATTCTTTGCTCAGTTGTCTGCGTCAAATATCCTGAGCCCATTCCAAACAAATTAGATCCTGAATTGTAGGTGTCAATTTTGTGACAGAAATATGGAACCTAAAAATGATGTGTTTACTTTTCCTTAGAAATTTGAAGACGTCCTGCGTATTAAAAGTTTCAGAATCTTACATTAAAAAAGATGCCACCGAAGTGTTTGGCTTGGTTTAAATAGGTATTCACGGGAAATTGTCTATACTGAAATACGTGGAGTATTATTTCGACGTTTCGTGCTTTCGTTGGTCCATGCCTGGTGTCAGTGTGGTTTAATGTTTCCAGAGGTGGAAAAAAAAAAACAGAGCAATTCATTTTGTGAATTATCTGCGTATTTAAGTACAAATAGTTCGCGAGTCGGATTCCTTCAAGTGCGAAACATAAGCGAAACATACAAATTGCACTGAAATCTTGTCTTGAATTTCTGTATGTGTTAACATGAAATTATGCTATGACATTTCATCACTTCATTTGTTTTCACTTCCACTTGATCCTTCGCAGTACGTTACTCAAGCATCTCAGATGTTTCCGTTTCCCTTAAAACCATCCCAGTGCGTTACTCGAGCCTGGTTTTCGCGCGGCCCTAATTATACACGACCACGATTTAGGGACGGACACTGCAGCCGCCCACGGGCCGGGACATTGCACGGGCCGTGGACGCGGCTCGGCGGATGTTTACGTCTTACCACTTCTCCAGAAATGTTTTATTACGGGTTGATGAAACTGGCTGCTCGGACATGACCGGGGCCGGGCGGACACGAGCGTGACAGGTCCCGTGCAGGCGCGCTAAAGCCGGCAAGGACGGCCGCCCGAGCTGCCCGCAGCGATCGGTCCCCCGTAACAGGCTGTTATACTAATAGAGGAACGGGGAGTGGTTGTAAATAATGAGAGTATTTATAGGTGTGTGATTTGTGCGATTTGATCCAGTTTTTCTGTGTCGTTTCACAGACTTATGATAGGGAAGTTGTATTGTTGCTAAATATAGTGACGAACACTACCTTACTCGCCACGATGAGCACTCGAGGACTTGTATTCTATTTTCGTCACTATTCGGCAGATTTATCAAATGTGTAGTTTGATAGCGTGATGATTGAACGTAACTACAACGGTTGGAGAACAGCTGGAATTGTTTTTACCCTGTGGGATGTCGTGGAACGTTTGGTATCTTTTAGTTACATTTTATGTTAAATTATCTGTATTGGCCGACAATGGCGACTGATCTATTAGCGCGAAACTGATATAATTGGTGCTCTGCAAGTGGTGAGAATGGGACCAGTGAACTCGAGAGACGTTCATATGGAGATCAGACTACCGAGTCTGCTGGACAAGGCAGCGACGAGTCGATCTCACGGGTGTCTGATCAAACCTGAGATGGCTGGCGTGTGATTTTGCCGATTGCTGAGCCTCAGCTGCTGATCTTTGGGTGCTGACAGAGCTGACCATCAGCAGTGACCGCTGACAATCAGCTCCAGCTTCCTGGTTCGGTGATAGCTTCCGACCGCTGCTTACTGCCTTTTGTTGGTTCTCTTGCGATACAATCCGGGGCTCAGCCTCACATCGATTGCGAGAATTTAGTCACACATAATCTGAGCTTTCAAAGCTAACCTCCGAACAGGTGTTAGGCGGGGCTGCGATTCGGTTGTTAGTTTGTTCAGATGTGGAAAAGGCACGAGTCTCGCCACCTTCCACTAGCAAACCGTGACTACTATCCTCGGGAGATCCTGTGACAATAACACGTCGAGCCCTGCGGTACAAACTCCCGTCAGAGAGCAGTGTGCAAAGGATGTGTTTGACTCGGGGAAAGGTCAGTTTGGTTGTGGCTCATGCGATGGCCTACCTTTGTCTTCCGACACCGACGAAATGGCGAACGGCTATGCGAATGCTGGTGGTCGAAATATTTGCTTTCTAGCTTTCCATGATTCACGGGCTAAGGGAAGGTAAATATTAGGTTATGATAATGCAATATTTATAATTAACAATGCACCAATGCGTTTCAGTAGATGACATTTCAAGTTTTATATAATGAAGCCATAAGAGCTAAGAGTGTAGTAAGCAATTAGCGAAGAACCGGCGTTTATAAAATTTGGTATCGCCCAATTGCCAAGTCCTTTTGAAATGTACCACATGTGTCTCCCGATCCCAAGATATGATTATGAAACACGATGAAAGCTCTTGTCGGCGTGTTGCATCATATCGAAGATCATTTACCTGTAGCAAATCAGCATCTTGAGCTGCTTCATTGATTGAAAATAGCTGCTTGGCGGGCGGGTGAAACCGGACCCGCTGGGGTGTATTTGTGCTGGCCGCGGTACGTATTGTGGTACGCTGCGGACGGAGGTCGAGCCGGTGCGGCTGTCTCCGCCGCTGCTGCACGAGCTGCTCTGCCAGCGACGGAGGGTTGTTCAACGCTCAGCCGTCAGCCCCGGTCCCGCACGGCTGAGGTCAACTGAGGTCGAAGCAGGTGGTATAGGGACGGTCACAAGGGCGGGCGCTGGCGCGGTCTTAGCGACGGTCTTCTTTCTATGTTTGATGAATATCTGGGGATGCCGAGATGACATGCCAGGGCATCAGTGTCATCGCATTATTCGGTCGTTAGTGGGTCAGCGGTCGGTTCACCTTCCCTTTGCTGCTGTGTGTCCAGAGTTGCATCCTGACTACACGTTACCACTGGCGATCGGTTGGGCACGTCGTCTTCACCATCCTCCTTCGTCTGTGGCAGTCGTCGGTGGCGGCGGACGGTGTAGCCGGTGGTCCGTCATCCGACACCGCCCGAAACCCGAGGTCGCTCAATGAGACGCGGCGAGGCATCCACCTGCTCCGTGTGTACTGTGTAGGGCTGGGGCGCCGACCCTAAGGTCCCTCTCACACAGGGGCACACACTCGGCCGCCGCCCTTCCTCCCCGTAATGTCGGGGTCCTAACCGTGACGTTACGGGGTATTTACATCGTGGGAGGTATTTGCTGGAGCTTTTGTTGTCGGCGATGTCATTGGAGGAATCCTAACGCGGTTACGCTCTAGCGTGTCTGCTTGTTGGTTTCGGGGCAGGACTTGCTTCTCGTTCAAGACAGCAGAAAGCTTTTCTAGTGAAGACAATTTCTATGTTGCAAGCTGGTCGTTTTCTCCGAGTGATCATCAGCAGTTGTAGTATGTTATCATGGTATGTTTTTTCATGTCGTTCTTTCTTTTAATTTCTTAGTGAAATTTTACATTAATGATTCCGTTTCTTTTCGTTTGTTCTTACCGGTCTATGATTGACCGCGACATCTGCGAAAACACATTACCGGCTAGTCCCGGTCCCTTTGTAGTTGTGCAACAACTATCACCGCGATCCGCGGCCTCAAACAAAACCGCCGCTACCGCCACCGCCACTACCGCAACCACCCGGCACCCACCAACCGCCACGGCCACCACCCACCAACCGCCGCCGCCACCGCCGCCGTCGTCGTGTTTTCGTCGTTGCCGACGCTGTTGTGTCGTTGCCGACGTTCGCTGTTGGGCCGCGCGGCGCGGCCCACCGCCAAATATGCGGCGACGGTCCTGCGGAGATTAGCAGAGTCATTTATCTCGGAGACGGATTGTGTTCCGCCGACAAAGTGTAGCAGATAAAGGCCATTACCGCATTATTGACGTGCAGACACTGGTCCTTAGTGGCTCCTGTCAGTGGTCCTGGTCGGACAGAGGAGGGAGGAGGGTAGAGGAGGGAGGGAGAGGAGCGCTGACGGTTTCCAGAAGGTGGCTAGTGACACTTCGGAGGATGTCCCTGCTACCCCTGTGACAGGTGAAGTGGTGATGACACTATGTCATCGGATATTGTTCAGAAGCTGCAATCTTTTGGTCTCGTGGTAGCATTGTTGTCAAACAGAAATTTCATATTTTGTAAGAGCTTCCCTTAGCGCTGTTTCCCTGGTGCTTCGTTCTGGTCAATAACAGCGCTAGCAGCGGATGCTTTGGCGGCCTTTTTCCCTCCAAAAGTCTCATTTTGTCCAGCAGATGTTAACTAGTTTGCTGTTTTCAATTATGTGTGTCTTTTCTGAATTTCACGGCGGACAGTGGGCAATTTGATGTCATTGTCGGCCAGTTCCACTTGTCCGCAACAGCCCTATGTTGCGCTTCCTTGTCCGGCACTCTCCGTTCCGTCCCGCCCCCGTTTCGTTCCACCGTCCCACCGGGCAGTCCGTGCTGACCGGCACGGCGGCGAGTTTTGACTAACTCACCTCGACAGCAGCTCGGCGGTCCATCTCTGACAGTGCCGCTCCCCCTCCCTCCGGGGCAGCTGCTGAGGTAGCACTGCCGCGATTACAACTACTCACGTGGGCACTCGTCTCTGTCGGGGGACCGGCGGGACCCTCTGTTGGGCCTGGCGGGTCCCTCAGTAGGTGACCCAGGGGCCCTCTCTGTCGGCGACTGACCGGCCCCCTCTGCCGGTACCCTGTCCTCTGCTGAGGCGACACCTCCCTCCAGCCTGCCCGCTGCACCGATGGGGCCGGTCATTGCGATAAGAAGTGCTGCGAACTGCACTTTGTTATCGGGCAGAGATGCTGGTCGTGAAAGGGGGGCTGGGAGGAGCCGGCACGTCGATCTGCTTAGGTGGCTTGGTGGGGTGTCTGATCGGGGATTTTCTTTTTGCGATGTGTGGGGTGAGGCTCGAGAAATGTTTTGTGGGTGCTCATCTCCAAGCTGAATCATTTTGTGATGGCTGAATCCTATCCTTAGTGGTCAGTAGCTTGTGCAAATAATGAGATTTCGGTGAACTATTTGAGCTTGTTCCATACAAGTAAAATTACCTATAAGAGAAACCTTGTGAATTGTGAAGGTTGCATGGGAAATGCTCCTTCCTTGGTTCGACGAACGGAATAAATTACCCTCTCAGTCTCAGCCGGACCTGCCGGGGTGCCAGTCTGACCTCTCGCCACTCCCCGACCGTCCGTCTATTGGCCAGCGACTGCGTCGTATGCATTCCTTCTAGCCGCGCACGTGACTATGCGGCAGCGAGCAGCTCATAAACCGCCCCCGTCCCCTCCGGGGCCATCGCCGCGGGCGGTGGGGCGCCGGCCGTCCCGGCCGGGTCAGTCGGGTCAGACTGCCAGGGATGACTGCGGTCGGCTCTGGCTGTTCTGTCATGACGTGTTCTCCAGACGGCGTCCCAGCTCCCGACGCTGCCCTCAGCTCCACTGCGGTCTATGTCAGCGCTGGTAGTTATCCGTTCTCGCTTCTCCGTTCAATCAGTGATGACCTTTCTCGGCAAATCTTCTTGATACTCGCTGTTCGCTTTGAAGTGCAGCAGCAGAAGGGCTGATTTGACTGTCTGCTGACCTGTATCTACCCCGTGTCTGATGCCCTTTCTCCCTGACCTTTCCCCGCTGACTGCTGACCTCTCTCCCCCAACTGCTGACCAGTGCCGCAGTCGCCGGCCGGTTATCACCGTGACGCTGTGCCGCCGCTGACCTCTCGGTGACCTGGTGGGGTCGCCCCCTGTCCAGATAGACGCGCTGAGGCGGATGTCGGCTCTGTGATGTCGTGCTGACGCTGATTGCTGATGCTGGGCGGCGCTGACGCCGCACCCGCTCCCAGAAATAGTGTCCCGTGTCAGCGGCGGGATACCGGCCGCGGCTCCGGTCACTTCGCGAACGGAGCTAACGAAGTTAATCTGAGCGGAGATGGCGGACTTGCAGATGCATAAATACCGTGATTGCTGCGTTTTTGTTCTTACTTATAGCCATAGAGAAATAAATATGGCATTATAGACAATAAAGGAACTTTGTTCTGCACTGCTGGACAGTGGACATGTGTCTTATGATGCTGTGCTTATTTTTTATTTGATCCATTTTAACATTGTATTTTTGTTTCAGCTGAAGAAGTCCCCGGGAGTGGATAGCAACGAGAACAATATCGACACACACCGGTGAGTACCGTATACATTAGAATGGTTATTTGATGGTCAGTGGTCAACTAGGAGTGTTAACCCTCGCATGTGTAGGGGGGGGGGGTCGGATGGACCCCCCCCCATGGTTTTTCGCGAATAACTCGCGTAAAAAGCGGCCGATCGCGACGAAACTTTCAGTACCCTCGCATTGATCAATTTGACACCTACCCTGAAAATTTCATGACCCTGACCCAAATGACCTTTGACCTGTGACCTCTTTTCCGAGACCATGTTTGGCCGGAATCGCGATTCGGCGTACGTCGGCTCGCATTAGCCGCGCGTTTGCAAGCTTTTCGTGGTTTCAAACGTTCAAACATGTGATTTGATGTTGCTCCCATGCATTAGGGTGGGTGTCAAGGTCACCTGAAGGTCAGGTCAGGTCATTGACCTTTGGTGACCTCGGGTGACCTCGGTTCACTTTTTCGAGTTTTACATGTTTCCAGGCTAGTTTTTGGAGCTGAATTCGAATTTAGCAACCATTTGAACATTTACGAAGTAGTTTTGGTGCCTTCGTAACATGTTACGAAGCTGTCAGAGGCGGTTGACACGTACTACGAATACCCGTCACGACGCCTACTGATTGACCTGACCTGACCTGACCCGACCTGGTCTAAATGCTTAAAGACATCATCTGTGATCAAAACTAACACGATATTCGTGATCACCACCCCGAAAAACCCCTTAGCAGCCACACTTTACGACTTTCTAATAGGTCCCGATTTTCCCGACTTTGGGTCATTGACCTGACCTGGAAGGTCAACCAATGACCTAGGACCTTAAAATTGGGTATCATCGGCTTCCTCTCGTCACGGGCAACACGCTCGTTTTTTCCGCGAAGCTCTAGCTCGATCAGGGGCCAAACGGCAAGGGGGGGGGTCCAACCGACCCCCCCCCCCCTACACATTAGAAGCTGGAAAACGCCGCACACATGCGAGGGTTAAAATGATTTGAAATCATTTGGTAGCCATCGGGACCCTTGTATGTTTCACCGCTTCATACTTGCGCGCTGGGGATTCGCGTGAGAAGGGATTGTTTTTGTTGTTCATTGGGGCTTTAGGGCGCCTCGACTACGAAGGTCATATCGCGCCCACTGAACCACGGGAAGCTTCAGGAATCACCAATCGCCTGCTAATGACTAGTTTCAGTGTATAATCATCCGTTAAGAAACATTCCTTCAATATATCAACTTCAATAATATTCCAACAAGTTTCTGAGATGTCTACGCCAGGTCGGTACTACCGTGAAGACCACTACGAGCTCTGACCGACCGAAGAAGCTGAGCGCGTGCCGTGCCAACAGGTGTCCCCGGGCGGCGGGGTGGGGGTGGGTGTTTGGGGCGGTGGGTGGGCCTCGGTGTCCGGTGTCAAACAACACCCGTTGTGGGATTTCGGCGAGGCCCGACTGCGGTTACAGAAGCTCCACCGTCTGTCTGCTGCCGCCCTTGGCAGGGTCAGCTCCCGATCAGCTGAGCGGGTAGGCGGAGGGAGTTTTGTACGGTTTCGTGCACTTCCATGGGCAAAAGCAGGCTTGCTACATTGGGTGTGTTATTGACAACAGCTGAATTTATATGATAGCTAAATTAGATTCGAGGATTGTTTTGTTAAGGTCAGAGTTTCGGAATATGTGTAACAATTCATCTCTAACTTTATCCTGAGTTCCATGGCCTTGCATTGCGCCGTAAACCATGCCACTGTCAAGGCCTCGAGTCTCACCCGCCGCGTAGTCTGACCTTCCCACTCTCTCCGCTCGAGCTACCCTCACGGTCCCGTTCTGCCTCTTCCGACCACGTGTCTGTTCCCCTGCACCCGCCTGGCCACCCTTCACCGGTCCTCCCGTCTGCTGCTCGCCCGGTCCTTCCCTGGACCGAGACCGTGCGGACCGCGGACCACCGGCTGTCGCGGGACGGACCAAGAGCGGCGGCGGCGGCGTCACCGGCGACGGCATGTGGCCGCCAGCTGCGCGGTCATGGCGTCACATAAACAGTGGGCCGCCGCGCCGCCCGCCGAACCGCCGGCTGGCCGACCGGCCACGGCTGGTGCCGCTGGTGCCGGTGGCCGTGCTGGTGGTGCCGGCTGGTGCTAATAGTGCGGTGGCGCCCCTCGGCTCCACGTCGAGCTATCTGGTCACCTCCGGCGACTCTTCGATGGAGGGTGCTATTGTGACGTTTTCCTGGTACTTCCCGAATCCCCAGATGTTATGCTACCATAGGGCAAATGCTGTTTCGCGAGTGGAATGTTTCGGAGCACACGTGTCTCGGTGTCATAATGTCTCGGACATTAGATTAATCGTCTGTGGTGCCTTCAGACTTGTCCGCCCGACTCCCGCTGAGCTGACATCCTTCATCTTCTCGGTGGTGCTCCATTATCCTCATTGTCGTCGAGTCTCTCTCGTATCGCCAGATGTTTCTCAGTGCATCTGAACTTCCTCGACATCCTCGGCCCTCGCGAATTGTGCCTATACTTCACACTACACAGCCCTCAAACCAACTTTAATCCCTTCTATTATTCCACGTATTGTATCCTACCGTGATAAGTGAGTAGAAACTAACTCGAGCCGTCATATCGGCCCTCATACCTTTTCCACCTTTCTTTTCTCACTCATCCAGTGAAGCACTGCACTGATTGTTTTCCTGTCTGACGGCCTGCTAGCAAATGCTGCAGTCATCCACTGATTGGATTGTTTAAAACAGACTGCCGGCCGTGTCCGGCGGCTGGTAACTGCGACATTATTTATGGACGGCTGTGAGCTCTGCTCCCCGCAGCGGCGGGCCGACGCCGTGCCGTCTCGGTCTGGCCGTGCACCGGAATCAGGATGGTGAGAAGTCCGTCGGAGGCGCCGCTCTCGTCACCGGTGCACTTTGATGGCCCTGAGGTGTGAAGGCTTTAGGATCCGCCCTGGTATCAAGACTGTTCCTGTGCCTCCAATGCGTCAAGGTCTAGGCTCTAGGCTATTTGTACTGCTGTCTCTCGCTCGCTCCTGCAATGCTCTGTCTCTGGTGACGTGCATGCAGAAGCACCATTGCCGGGACCAGTATCTTGAAGATAAGTTCTCTCCAAACGTGTTTCATGGGAAGCGCAGCGACTTCTGTATTCAATGTTTTCTGGCCGAAACTTGTCTCGCCGCCACTGCCCCGCCGTTCCGGCGACAGTGCTGCTGCCGCTGTGCTGTGCTGCACAGGAGGGTGCGGCCGCGGCCGCAGTTGCAGGACTGCTGTGTCAGCCTGCCGGACCGACTGCCGGTCCCGCGGACCGTCCGACCTACCGACCGCCCCCGTCTCAGCAGGACCGTCCGACCGACCGCCCCCGTCTCAGCCGGTCCTAAAAGGGCAGGGGAGGTGCCGTACCGGCTGCTGCTGCTCTGTTGGAGGAGGACACGAGAGAGGGCTTAGCCAGGTGAACAGAGTCTTTCTGGGCTTAACCCGCGCACCGACGGGGGGGGCGGATATCCGCCCCCCCTGAGGTTTTTCGCGAATAGCGGGAAAACCGCGCGAAATTTGGTATGACTATTCCCTTATCAATTTTACACATGGTGTGCAAGTTTGAACCTCCTACCTTTCAAGGTCAGGTCACCAGGTCACTTTGAATGACCCAACCTCAAGTCACTTTTTTGCAACTTTGTCACCGTGCCAGAGCTACAGTAGATGTCGGAGGCCTTTGAAAGTCGCAGGATGTTATTAGGTCATTAGTAGCTACAATTTGTATATCTCGGAATTTTGATATCGGTGACCTAAGGTCAGGTCAATTTCGCGACCTCCCCATTATAAGTCAATGGGGGAAAAATCAACTCCCTGTTTTTACCACTAAAACGGGTCGGAATGGCCCCATATACCATACATGACTTCATATACGATCAACCTTCACTACCTTGAGGTCTGTTTTGCTGTTGGGCAGCTGTGAGGTCATGTGACGTCATCAAAGGTCACCAAAGGTTTTTGGCCAATAACTCCGTACAGGAACAAGATACAGACGCGTGGATGGTCTCATTGTGTTCAGCTCGTCAAGACGCATCGAATGATATACATGATGACCTCGAGGTCACGTGACCTGAGGTCAACCTTTGACCTTGACCTTTCGAGGTCAACATATATATCATTCGATGCGGATTGACGAGAGGATCACGATGATGCCCTTAGTTTGTTCCTATCTTGACTAATTCGAAAGTTATTCGAGAAAAACTCTCCATATTTAGCGCCGCCATTTTGACTTTTTCGACCCCTGTGACGTCATCTTTGACCTGACCTGAAAATGACCTAAGTAAAAATTGTAGATCTTGACCGTGCGTATCCGATGCCGTTTACCGCTTGTCGCTATCTTGCTTCGTTCTCGAGATCTCAGGGGGGGGGCGGTCATCCGCCCCCCCCCCCCGTCGGTACTAAGTTGGCGCAGACCCCCGTCGGTGCGCGGGTTAAAGCCGCAGTTCGTGAACTCTGGTTGAACTTAGGCGACGCAGTAGTAGTTGCCTCTGATGCGTCCTTGTGCAATGGCATGGCTTAGTCACCTGGTAATGGCTAAGTGCCCTGCGTTTTGTTATCTGCCGCCGTATTTATGCCACGTGGCATTTCCATCCAATGACCACTGAGTCTGACTCAGCCGTGTCTGTGTTGTTCACATCAGTCACATCTCACCACAACCGGCTGCGTGCCGTCAGTGACCCCCCCCCCTGCGGCCGTGTTGCCGCCGCCCATCAGTGCGGTGCGAGTGTGGGTGAGGGGGGGGGGCGTCGCTCATCACACAGCCGCCGCTGGCTGTTTATTTGGACTCCCCGAGAGGCCGGTAACAAGGGTAGACGAATGGGAGGTGCCGCCGCCGCCCGCCCGCCCGGCCGGCCCGCCGCGGCGGTACTCGGACGGCCGGCGGAGGAGGTTTATTGGCCGGCGGTACGTGCGTTCCACCGGCGCCGGGCCGTGGCGGCACGTCCTGGACCGCTGCAGCACGCCGGGGTCTTACCGACCTGCAGCGGCGCCCTCGGGTCATTCATCA